TTTTTTTTTTTTTTTTTTTTTGGGGGGGGGGGACGCAATCACTCCATAGCGACTTTTGCAAAGTTATTTTTGGGCACAGAAATTTTTTTTGGAATTTTTTGAATTTCAGTTCTTAGTAGCAGGCCCGAGATTTAGTATCACAGTGTTTTCTGCTCCCAGCAAAGTTTGACTAATTTTATCCTCCTCCCATACTTTTATTAACATTTACATTCTTCTAGCTGCAGGCAGATATTTTTCTCTGGGATTTTTCCCCTAATTTATCAGAGTTTAAGAGGTGTGCCGCTGTCGACGCTTTCGCAGGGAATGCTGCAAACAATTATGAATCGTAAGCGCGGTGGACGACGCCGACTGAGTAGCAAGAAAAACACGCCAAGGTGCCTGTTCAACTATTTGCCACGCAAAAATTTTTTCCGTTGAGCTCTCGAATAAATTTTTTTTAATGTTCTACCTTTATTCTTTTAAAACAATTCAAATTCTCTTAAATCAACAAATATGACTTATTTTGCACAGTTAATAAGGGCACAAAATCGTCCGAATTTGACAAATTCAAATAAATCAGAGCAGAATTCCACTGCATTTAGCTTCAAAATTCGAATAAATGAAATCTAGTTAATATGGAATTACGAGTTTTAGAGTAACTGTTAAGTACGGGGGGTTTTTTTAAGGAAGGAAAAGGCAGCTACTGCGAATGGTACTGGAAAAGCGAACTGTTCAGATCAAAAAATCACTGATTTCTTCCCATTGCGCAGAAGCAATCGAAAAACTGAAAAGCAGCTTGAGGTAGGCTTTTTTACATGTGACGATGTCGGATTCGTAATGAATGCAAGCATGTATGTATATGTATCTATGTGTGTTCAAATTGCGGAAAAAAGACGGGCTTTGGTTCGATTATTTTAGGAAGAAGAGCGAAATGCGATGGAAGAAGCAATTTTAACGAGTGCTAACGAGAAATTCCTGGAAGTTTTTGAATGTAAGGAAAAGGGTCGTGGGATTCGAACCCTCCGCGAATTCCACAAAAATGAATTCGTGGTCGAATACAAAGGTAAGGAAGTGTACAGTACTTGAGGCACTTGATAAGCATCCAACAGGATATCTCAGATCACATATCCATGGGGCTAACTGGAAGTGCTGGCATGGGTTATGTGAATCGAAACACTTCTTACCATTGAAATAATTCTGTTTATTCACAAATTTTGTGGTTGTCATCTCTTACCTTCCTTTTCGTTCTCTTTTCACCCGTTGTTAATACACCTTCCTATTAATATACCTTCTTGTTATGTTTTTTCATTAATTCGAATTTGTTTGTCAG